TGTCGGTCGGCATGAACTACAGGAGCAGGGTCCCGAAGCGGCATGGTGCGCACTCTTGAATGCATCATGAGTGAAAGGTGGCGACGACGCCTCGAAGAATTCACCTGAAAAACGCAGGGAAACGCTGTAGACTAGTTCGACTGATGAGCAGCGGAGATCCGCCTTCAATGCTGATGGGATGCCCAGAAGTACGAAGAGAAAATGGTAGAGTCAACTTTCTGTGACCAGTGAGGGCAGCTTTCAGTTGTCGATGAAGCCGTTCGACCATGCGAAAGAATAGTAGGCAATCGTGCGAATGTATCGAATGCCCAGGATATTGTCAAGGGCCATGAAAATGGCGGATAGAAATTGAGGACCACCATCGATGGTGCGAACAGAAGGGCATCCAAAGCGCGACACAGTCGTTTATGAAAGCCTTAGAGACTGTTGGTGCTGTGGTGTTGGAATTAGGAAATGCTTTCGGCCATCTGGTGAAGCGATCCACACATGTCAGCAGGTAACAGGTTTCTTTTGATGGCGGAAGAGGACCGAAAATGTCCAGATGGACGTTTCAAAACCTTACGTCTGAAGGTTTAAAGATAGATGTTGCCGTGACAGTGAACTTTAACCCGCTGGCATTGAAGGCAGATACGTGCCCAGCGTCGCACGGCAGCATCCATGATGACCAAACTAAACGAGATGTGACTCTCTTCTGAGTTGCACGAATAACAGGATAGCTCATGTTGTGCAGTCAATGAAAAATTGCATGATGAAAAACTGACGGCACGAAAGACTGACACGCACCAGTAGACGTTTTACACATTATTAATTAGGTAAAAAATGAAAGCGGGCACGCTGTGAATGATGAGACGTGAATGAAGAAGGAAGACGATGCGGCTCAGGATCGTTGCTCTGGTCAGCTTCAAGTTCTTTCATGTCTAGTGATGGCTGGGTCGACAAGGCACTGCTGCGAGAGAGTGCATCAGCGACAGCATTCTGGTCTATGGACGTGTCTGAGATTCGCGGTGAACTAGGAGATAAAGCATAGCTGATGAATCTACCGTGCAGTGTAATTGATGTGATTGCGATAGAAGGCAAACGTGAGGGGCCTGTGATCTGTAACGACGTAAAAATTCCGGTCCTCCAGTAAATGACAAAAATGCTTGATGGCGAGGTACACCACCAGGAATTTGCAGGCAAATGTACTGTATAATGGTTTCAGTGGCTTCAGTTTTTGCGAGAAAAAAACAAGGGGCTGCCAACCAGATACATGCTGCTCGAGAATAGTGCTAACTGCCAGGCTCGATGCATCGGTGATAAGACGAGTGGGGGCATCAGGAACAGCTGTTTGAGCATGATGGCGTCTGCCAGAGCCTTCTTGGCAGCGACAAAAGCAGATTCGGCTCTTTTTTTTAGCCAATAGGTCAGTCAAGGGCTTTAGAAATGTGGCATACTTTGAAGGAAAGTGGCAATAGAGGCCCGAGAATTCTCGGAGTCTTTTCAGTGAAGTTGGGCACGGAAAGTCTTGAATAGCTTTTACTTTGCTGGTGGGTGGTTGGATACCATGACGAGTGACAACGTGGCCAAAGAACTCTATGGTATAAACGCCGAACAGGCACTTACTGGGATTATTTATGAGGCCATAATTATCCAGGCGTTGGAACCCAGTGCACAGGACTGAATGAGCTTGTGACAAGGAGGTCATCGAGGTAGGCAAATACAAAATAGAGGCCTGTTTGATAGTGCGCTGAAAAGTCTGTGCAGCATTGCACAATCCAAAAGGCATCTTTGCGTATTCAAACAGATCGAATGGGGTGGTGATGGTCATCTTGGTGGCGTCTACAGAAATCTGATGGTAAGCATTCACTAAGTCAATCTTCGAGAACATCGTGCACCCAGATAAATTTGATGTCAAGTCTTGTATGTAGAGAAGTGGATAGCGGTCTGGTAAGGTGTGGGCACTGAGAGCGGGGTAATCTCCACAGGCTTTCCAGTTGCCAGAATTTTTTTCGGGACCATATGAAGTGGCGATGCCCAGTTCCTTGAGGAAGGTTGCACAATGCTAAGTTAAAGTCTGTGCTTAAACTCTCGGCAGGGATGGCGAGGCATTCTCCAGACAATCGACGGAGCCGTATAAAAACGGGAGGCCAGTGGTGGCAATGTGGTGAGTGCTGAAGTGCTTCACCGGTGACTCCCTGGTGTGTGGCTTCGTAATGTTGGGAAACTCAGCGAGTACTTTCGCATGCGGCAAAGTGGGTGCGAGAGCTCGAATTCCCGTTGACGGGAAGTACAGAGTATACTGTTGATGGAGAGGCACGTTTTGAGATCAATGAGGCGATGAGCATGCATGTTCACTGCAAGATTGAAAAACTAAGAAAGTCAGCCCCAAGAACAGCTTGCGAGACGTCAGCGAGAATGAAAATCCAGTGAAACGTACGGCGTAGTCCACGGTCAGGTGTAAGAGACCATTGGTTGTATGCCCAGATAACAAAATGGTTGATCGCCACATCTGTTTGTTGTGAAGCCAATCTGCACACAAGGCCGGTATGGTGCCAGCCTGGGCTTGGGTGACGACTAGGAAGAAAGTGCCAGGGATCTTATCAGAAGCATTGAAAAGGCGGCCCAACTTTGAACCAGTACCACTTGCCATCATCAGTGGCCGGTCATCGCATATCCTGACTAGGAGCACAGGTAAGTGCATTTGCGAGCAGAGGCACCGAACAGGTGGTGGTACCAGCACATTGTTGAAGATGAACCGCCGCGCATCGCGTCAACTGACCGAAGTTCCGGAGAGTGTGGTAGTAGTGGTAAAAACATTGATTTAACAAAACAAAAAAACACAAGAGAGGTATGCAGTGACCGCCTCATAAGAGGGTCGCACCTACAACTAGTAGGTGGGGATTCCGAGCATGGGACCAAATTTGTGTTGTCTGCTGCCTAGGCTTATTGAATCAAGGCCTTTAAGGCCTAAAGGTTAGAACAGCCAAGGAGCGTCGCCTCCCACTCCTCCCGGGTTGGGTTGGGGATAGGGGTATAGCAAGCAGGGTTGCACGGGCAGGCCCACACCGTGTGGTAGATGTCCGAAAACTTCTCCCCACAGTGTGAGCAGCTGCCGGAAAAAGCAGAATCGAAATCTTTGAGGACTTCCAGGTGCAGCATAGTGTTCGTGAAGAGTCAGAGTAAAACTGCTCCTCCACTTTACTTAGGTTTTTGCATGGGGGTGGATAAAGGCTGTGATCAAATTGGTGATAGTCCACAATCTGGTTGAAAGAGTACACCTCATTGAATTAAAGGACGTCCTGATCGGGGGAGGTGAGTGGAAATGCCCAATGAGAGAGCACGTGGCCAGCTGCAAGGCATCTGCCATGTGCCAGCTGGAAGGCGTCTTTGCACTGTAGCTGCCCTTGCATTTACTAGAGACCTGGTGGACCATGCAGCCCACCTGGTGGCCCACCTTCCGAAGTTTGGCCCATGTGGTGTCTGACCGTCTTTGATTAATAAAGAGCCCCAGTACCCGGACTTCTGTTTGTTCAGTAATTGGACCTGTCTTTAGTGAGAATTCAATTGTAGTCGTGCACTTGGGTGAGGGGCGTATGTGCACGAATTTCAATTTGCATGGCGAGCACTGAAGGCTACACTGGCAGGCATAGCGGTCGACTATGCTCGCGGCTTGCTGCAGGTTCGCCTCAATATCTCCGAGTGCACCCTCTGTGGCCCAGACGATGATATCATCAGCATACAACGCATGTTGTATACCGGGAACATCAGCCAGCTGAGCCGGCAGATGCATCATGGCCAGATTGATTAATAAGAGACAGCACTGTATCTTGTGGTGTACCTCCAGTTCCTAAGGGGAAGGGCTGTGTTTTTTGTCCTGTATGGGAATGGAGGGTTGTCTGTCGGTTAAAAACTGCTGAATGTACTCGAACGCTTTCAAGCTACAGCCGGTGTTTGAAAGGTGTGTTAAAATTACCTTATGGGTTAAATTGTCAAATGCCCCCTTTAAGAACAAGCGAGTACAACCTCGTTGTTGTGAGGACACTCGACAAGGTCCAGGACATCCCGAATAAGTTGAAGCAAAATGTCTTGCCCGGATCTGTTTGGGCAAAACCCGTGCATCGAATCTGCGAAAATACGTTGATTTTCTACGAAATTGTACAAACGATCCAACACCATCGTCTCCATCAGTTTGCCTATACATGATGTGAGAGAAATGGGGCGAAGGTTGTCCATGTTCACGGCCTTTCCAGGTTTCAGTATAATGTGATTAGGGTAGTCTTTCATTGTATAGGGAGTGGCACTTCCCCTGACGAAATTAAGTTAAAATAATCTAATAGTGATTAATAAGCCAGGTCGGGAAGGCTAGCTAACATTTTCAGAGTAATCATGTTCATACCCAGAGCGATGCCACATTTCGGATTTCGTAGCAGCGAGTGGATTTCGGAGCCGCACGGCGTCTATGCTTTGAATTACAGGCCGTGGTCGACTGTGCTGGCGCACTCTCAACAGCTAGGTTCTGTACGTGCTGGGCCTTCACTTTCACAGTTGGTGTTGAAGCCATTTATAGAAAGCATGACACTCACTGCAGGGAGCACATTTGCTAAAAGCTGCTCACATTTCAAATTTTTGCTGCTACACTCATTATTGCAGAAGAACTGCACCTTTATGCCACTTATTTCTGAAGCAGAGTGTCTCATCAGACGTGTAGCTTTGTACTTCACTAAAACAGACACTAGACATTATGATGAAATGATGCTATTATATCCCTCGCTTCAAGTGCGAGATCAGTGTTGTTTCAGCGATCAGTCCGTAACGCGACAAGGAAATCGGAGAAGCACTGTAGCCTCAGTGAGTCTATACACCTATATGAATAGTCAGACAGATAATGCTACTCTGCTGGCACGAGATGCCTGGTTCATGGTATGTTTAGTGCTCTATTGCACACTAATCTTTCTTTCAAAAAATAATTTTTTTGAAGCCAGGGTGACAAAAATACGATCTTATTCGCTCAACGAACGCAGTGTTCCAAGTGTTCCTGCCATGCTGGGGCAATGTCACTGGAATGGCGTCGTTTGGGATCGGACTTCGCATCGAGAACGACAAGGGCCGCTACTTGAGCGGCACGCCACTTCGACTGCGATTGCAGAAACAGTGTGCCGACAACCGTAAGTGGCAATCATGCCAAACAAGAATCAAATGAATCATTGTTTGTCGATGCAGACTCTTCTCCGGCTAAAACGGGTTGTATTTGTTGTAAAGGTGTGCGACGGCTTTACATACCTCTAAGTCGATGGCATCGCAATCTCAGTCAGCTCACTGTACCATGCCTGGCCTCGCAGACCATGTATGCTGCACGTCACTGGTTGTATGGATGCCATGAGTGATGCCTTATGCCTTTACAATGGGGTGTTGGCACGGGTACCACCATGCTTGAAAACAGCAATTTATAAATACTTTGCTAATGTTTGCCGGAGAAATGCGATGACTTGATTCTTTCGTCGACGACACAGTTCGTGCCTTGAGAACTGCATGCAGTATGTACTGTTCCATGTGTGAAAAGTACGATCGACGGTGCAAGTGCAGTATGCAACCTACAGAGACACTAAAGAGCAAAATTATTATTCGTGTATTAGTAAAGCACGATTTCGAAATCTCGAAAACACCGCTTCTACCACAACATGACGCTTAGGAAGCGAGCAAATGCACGGCAAGAAAATATGGGTGGCAACATCACCTTGAGATACCTACACCAAACACCCTGATGTAATAAATTTTGATAGCATTGATTGGGTCCTATGAGGCTTCTAACAGATAAAAATGAAGTGTGTTGTAATCTGTTAGTGCCATGGACTTAGCACACGAAGGTTCAGATAGTTTTATCAAGCCAATGCCATGAAAATACCAAAAAAGCATTTTGAAATTTCTCACGTCAAGCGCGGATTTGATTGATTGATTTGTGGGATTTAACGTCCCAAAACCACCATTTGATTATGAGAGATGCCGTAGTGGAGGACTCCGGAAATTTCGACCACCTGGGGTTCTTTAACGTGCACCCAAATCTGATTACACGGGCCTACAACATTTCCGCCTCCATCGGAAATGCAGCCACTACAGCGGGATTTGATCCCGCGACCTGCGGGTCAGCAGCCGAGTACCTTAGCCACTAGACCACTGAGGCGGGGCACGTCAAGCGCGGAAATTTTACGCGAAATTCAAAAATAAAACTTTCACCTTGATTTTTCCTGCTATTAATGAAATTACGATAGTGAAATATGTGGCTTTAGAGTTCTCAGAGTGCAGTTTGTTAATCGAAACCAAGTCATTGTTCCTCTTTAGTGTCCCTTTAACTACTCAAGTGAGTGTAGCTAAACTCGGGCACGTCGCATGTGTTTCTGCAGCTGTCTTAGCAACGGCGCTGTGTCAAGGGTATATATCACTCTGCGCAGCTTTAGCTAGCAGTGCTACACCGTCTGCGGCTCCTGAACCGAGGCATGCGCGGAGGTACTATTGTGTGGCGCCAGAACTGGAAGCCTCAGTTTTATATAGATGAGGTTTTGTAACAGTGGACTGTGGTAGTTTCCCCAGAAATGCATACAAAGCTTGAAATGCTTTCAGAGAAGATTTGGTTTGCGCCCAATTTATTAGCCAAACGAGTTTCGAATACTTTTTTTTACTACTGCATCGTGTCACTAACCTTTGTCTCTACCGAGCACTGGCGACCAATTTCATGAAAGAGGCTATCTGCTCAGGCATGCTATAACGCGGTTTAGCACAACTGTAAAGGACAGCATGCACTGTACATGCGAATCAAACACAAAGCAAGCCTGGGTTCTTGAAAAATGGATTCTATATGAGGCTTGCAAGATCTTGCATGATTGTTGCTAGCAGTACATCAAACTATACCTTCTTTGCACAACCAGGTCAATTGAGAGAAAACAAGGGTCATTTTAGGAACAACCTGCCTGACTCCAGCATTCACCCAAGATATTCTCGAAGCGCCGCTTCGCTGGAGATAAGCTCTTGATAGCCCCGCATCCCGGTCGGTTGATCGCACGAGTGGTTCAGTAACTTCAAGTGAGCATCTGCGACCAGGCTGGAATACAGGATAACATATTGATGAAAGCTGGCGCGTTTCAACCGCACATCATATTCTTGAGGAATGGCGGCCGCCTGTGTCATTGTATTGTGAGCACGTATTGCATCGCTGAGCATAGGTTCTCCCAACGAATGGCTCTACTGCAGCTTTCAGTCCAGCGTCGATCACTGTCACTGCCCCATGATGTCTGATGAAGGTGCTACGTAATGACACACCTACAATAACCACTGCAAAAAACTGCGACTGAATTGTCACGCAAAGCTACTGACCTCGACGTACTTGCAGAAACTATCTTTTGTTAACTACCCTGCGCTCAGTGGCTCATTCAATGCCTAGATTAAAAGGGTATTTTTTAGGGTTATTGGCTTAGTTAGCGTTTGTTGAAGGTCATAGTGTATTGTGCAAAGGCACCGAGACACACCTGTGTTTGGTATATTTGTGTTTTTGTGCTACACGGTGACGCTCAAATTAGGAATGTTTAGATCAAATGGAAAAGTTTCCATATTGTCAGAAGTAGATGATACATGATGGTGCCTACTTGAGTCTCCACGATGAGAGACACCGTTCATGATGAGACCTGCAATGCGACACTGATAATCTCGAAACAGCGCGTACGTATGAGATGCAATATGGACTGCACCTGACATGAGATATGAGCGCATGATGGTAAGCAAGCATTACCACTGGACATGACGCTCAAAAAGAGAGCTTTGAATGGTATTTTGAAATAAGTAACAATTATGCCTCACACCAGCAACATTGTCGGTCGGCACTGAAAAAGCTGCACACTTAGAATCGACGGTGAGCTTTAAGAGTTGAGTCGTAGTAGGCAATGCTGAGCTGAATAGAGGGAAAGCAAAGGTACTTGTACTAATTCTAGTTTATTTTTTTAATAAACCTGTCTAATGATTCGCTATTTAGATGTGACTGCTTTGCTCTCTGTCAAGCTAGTGTGTTGAGCTGTAATTTCTTTATTACAGCTGTACCTTCCAAGTAGAGGTGTCAAAATAAAACTTTTGTTGAAAATTATGCAGGCCCAGACCCTGAATGTGATCGAAAATGTGCTAACGGAGGTCGCTGCAACGCCGAGAAGATCTGCGAGTGTCCAAAGCGATACATGGGTCGCTACTGCAGGACAGGCAAGTCTTAGTTATGTCGATCTATTCGCAGACACAAAACAGAAAGTATTAAAATATGGGCGCCATTTTCTTCACGCTGCTTTGTATTAGAAAGTTTTATTGCACCAGACGGCGTCGGTTGAGGTTCGTCAGCCAGTCAAACATGGGCACAGGTAAAGACACAATAATTTTGTCTTCTGTAAAACTGCACACAACAAACACCGTTCCGTCTAATCAGATGGACCCAGAAGGGTCTCCAGACTACTTGAACAGGATCAGAATGCAAGCGCTGCAGCAAGAAATTTGAATTCGCCTGCTTTGAGCCTGGCTTACTCAAGTCCGGCACTGATAGTTTGCAATCATATTAACCATGCAACACCCACACACTACCAACCGAATGTCTCGTGAAATTGCGACTCCACCTAGCAATCAATCAAGATATTATCACAAAAAAGTTGTTAATGTTGTCACGCCCTTCATTTCAGGCTTTGAGAAACAATGGCTGCTAATACTGATGTTCAGATAATTATTTTATGCTGTTTCATGCATAAAATGCATTTAAATATAGCTGGCCTATTTGGCTGTTTGCTCCCTCTTGTTCTCCCGTTTGATCACGTCCATTTCTGTCACAAAAAGTGAACAGCATTGCGCCCAAGGTTACTTACTCTCGCCCCTAACTGACCTGAGATACGAGTAAACTGTTAGTAAATTTAGCGCAACTTAGGAATCCCTAGAAACACTCACACATTCGCACTCGCTTCTACGCAAGAAACACACACCACACACAGCACTTACCAACTGTTTATTGTGCCTGACTGGACATCTGATATACCTACAAGATTATGCACAGAAGCAGTGGGAAAGGAAGGTGCGCATGAGCAAAGAATCAACAACCGACGCAAGGACCAGCCACCATTCAACAAACTCGACTGTTCGTGCCCACGCATTTGCAATGGCAAGACACGCGATTGCCAGAAAAAAAAGAAAACATTCTTTTATTATGCCAAAAAGTTTACGTCGGGTAAACCAAAAAAGACGCCTGAGTGACCAATTAAGGGAGCATGCGTGAAAAAATATATTAAAAGAAAAAAAGTAAGTACGTGCATCTTGTGCCCTATGCGTCGGCTTGTGGGTGTGAACCACGGTTTAGAGGCACGCCGGTTCTCAGAAGAAACTTGAAATAATCTGCATGCCTATCATTGACCTGCATACTGGAGGTGCAGTTGTAGAAAGTACCCACTACACGCCCACCTTAACTTTCATGAAGTAAGGAAGTGCCCACTATGCCTCTATGTCATTCGTCATCCTGCTGATAAGCGACGTACCCACTACGCAGCTGTAAGGCATTATGGACACTTGTGCTGAGAAGAAGGCTCGTCGACAGGCTGACCCCGAAGTGAGAGCCCTTGAAGCAGACACGGCATGCAAGCGGCGGCAAGCGAGCCTTGACTCGGAACCTGCATCTAGATTGCCTTCTTTAACATTCAACTGCAACCTCTAATTCAAGATCCCCTTGCCACATACTTCAATGACCACAATATTGTAATCTTCAGAGTAAAATGCGTCCCACAGCTTTGTAATTAGTTACGTAATCCTTGTATAAAATTGGATAGATATGTAAATGATTACATCTTGTGTATATATAGGTGTATATACAATCTCCCCTATAAAAACATTTACGTCTTTATATTATGGTAAAGGACTTCTACGGAAGATTCATGGGTTGTCCCGATCAGTTCCGAGCAAGCTCGTTTATCATCATTCACTTCGTGGAGATGTGGGATTTCAATAGAAGTAGTAAGAATTGTCGTGTTAGCGAGCCGTACATGGCGTTGTAAAAGAAACATCTTTTCTCAAGGCTGGATAATAGTAGTCCTAGCTAGTTTTTCTGTTGTTTTCCATCATTTATTTTTTAAAATATTTTTTGTCCCTTTATTTGATGATGGCTGGTTCTTGCATCAATTATTGATTACCTGCTCGTGCGCACTTTTGTTTTCTTTTGCTTCTGTGCATCACCCTGTAGGTATATAAGCTGGTTAATTCGAACATATCTGCACAGATAATCTAGAGACAACCACCTAGTTGAAGTAGCTAAAGCATAGTAACAACTCAGCAACCTATAAAAAGCTGCCTGCATCTTCCCACGAAACGAATTCAAGTGAATGCGTCACAGTGGGGGGGGGGGGGGGGGTATCGCGGGAATATTGCAGTTATATAAGGTGGTCAGTTGGTAAGCACTGTGTAGGGTGTATGTTTCTTGTTTGGAAGCGAGTGTGAATTTCTGAGTGTTTCTACGGACTCCTAGAAGTTGCATTTAATTTACTAACAATATGTCGAGTTACCGACTAGCCCAAAAAGTTTTCATTCACCTGTACTGTTTGTGGCCATCCAAGAGAACTACTGTGATTGCTGAAGTGATGCGGATTATTTTTAGCTGATAGCTCTACCCCTTGGCGATGTGAGTAGTGCATGAAATAGAAGGACACGGAACTGACAAGGACTAGCACTCCTCAATGGTCCGACAAGACTAGCGCTGGTCCTTGTTGGTTCCTTGTCCTTGTGTGTGTCACGCGCTGTTTATGTCGCAATAGAGTACCAACTAGCCCGGTCACGCACCTTGCTTCAGCTCCACTCTTGCCAGTACAAAGCGGGAAAGCTCCCTTGGCTCTCCGTCGTCTAGATTACGCAGTGGTGCAAGCACGTCACAATAGGCAAAAAGTCATGCCACAAGACTGAAAGCTTATGACCTGCTAGTCATGTTGCCGACAAAAAGAACGAGTTCCCACACTCAAAGCCAAGGCATATCGGAGTTGAACACACACTCTCGGGCTAGTGGGCCGACGTAGGCTGCACTGACTGTGCGAACAGCCATGCGTTCAGCTGTCCACATTTTGTTCCAGTGGTGAGAGTACATGAACTTGCCTTTTCTGACAATCTCCGTTACTTAAAAACCATAACCCGTCAAGCTTGAATAACGTCTTCGCTCAAGATCATGGTAGTGAAACTTTGAATGAGACTACTGTGGTAGTCTCATCTAAACATTTTGAGTGCGTGTGTAGAAAATACGCACACACGTAATGAATAATCTCTTTTTTGACAACCTGCGTTACCCAAGAGCCGTGATACACCAAGCTTGAATGGCTCTCATAGCTTAGCGGTTGTGATTTGCAACAGCAACAGCTCCCACTTCTTTATTGCAATAGCAATTCCATAGACGTTTCAGCCTCAATTTGCCGTCGTCGCTCTCGGTATTTATATTGTCACATGCTACGAAACGTCTTCAACTAGGAAGAACTGAGCCGGCGGGGAGACGCACCGAAAACTGGCAAGATGGCTGCTTCAGTAATGAACAACTAGACAGAGCACGCGCTGCCCCAGAACGTCTTCCATTCTCGCGGGCAGCCATGGCTTGCACTCGCCGTAACTAGCAGCCAAGTGGCATTATTCCCGCTCTGAGAAAAAAAAGAAGGCATCACTCTGATGCTCGGAAAGTACAAAGGCAAAGTCGGGGCGAACTAACAGAAAATACGCGCATACACAAAAACAGCGTTATGGTTCATGCGCAGTCGCACTACCGCGTGAAATACGGCTTCAGGCACACCACGTGGACAATCTCTGAGGAGTGCCTTCGCCATCGTGGCGAGAAGGCGCCGTCAGGGACTACCTCGTAGTTCACATCGCTCACGCGTCCCAAGACTTTGTATGGTCCGAAGTAGCGACTGAGCAGTTCTTCTGACAATCCCTGGCATCGGACTGGAGTCCAAACCCAAACTTGATTGCCTGGATGGTATTCAACTTGTCGATGGCGAGCGTTGTAGCGGCATGCGTCTGTACTCTGCTGGTGCTTAATGTGTAGGCGTGCTAACTGGCGTGCTACTTCGGCGTACTGGGTAAGCTGCACAGCATCAGAAGTGATCAAAGCATTGCAATTGCGTGGAAGCATTGCATCCAGCATGGTCTGGACCTCACTTCCATAGACAAGACGGAAAGGCGTGAATCGCGTAGTTTACTGAACGGCACTATTGTACGCTAATGTGACGTTCTGTAGCACCTGGTCCCAGGTCTTATGCTGGACATCTACGTACATAGATAACATGTCAGCGATGTTCTTGTTGAGTCGCTTTGTCAAGCCGTTGCTCTGTGGATGATATGCCGTGGTCTTGCGATGGTTCGTGTAGCTGAGCTTGAATACGTCATGAATGAGCTGGGCCGTGAATGCTGTTCCTCTGTCAGTGATGACGCACGACCGGGCACCATGTCCAAAAACGGATCTGGTCCATAAAGAATTGGGTGACGTCGGAAGCAGTAGCGTGTTGTAGTGCCTTTGTTTTGGCATACTTTATCAAATAGTCGGTGGGTACTACTGATCCACTTGTTGCCGGCAGATGATAGCGGAAAGGGCCCCAGTAAATTCATTCCTATTTCATCAAATGGCGCTCTGAATGGTTCTATTGATTGAAGAAGCCCCGCGGGCTTTAGTGGCGGGGATTTGTGGCGTTGACATTCCCGGCAGCTTTTCACGTATCGCTTCACTGATGCAGAAAGCTTAGGCCATCCGGTGTAACGAAGGCGGTTTTTTCACGATCTCGTTCATCAACTACGATCTGCCAGTAGCCACTTTTCAAGTCTATCGATGAAAAATACCTGACCCACCGCAGTCTGTCGAGGGAATCGTGGATGCGAGGCAGCGGATAGACGTCTTTTTTAGTCACGCTGTTAAGTTTCCTGCAGTCCACGCAGAAACACAGTGATCCATCTTTTTCTTCACGAACACGACCGGAGATGACCAGGCACTTTTCGAAAGTTGGATAGTGTCATCTTGCAACACCTCTTTGACTTGAGCATTTATAACGTCACGTTCCTTTGCCAAAACGTGGTAAGAGGGTTGTTTTATGGGCTGAGGCATCGTTATACGTAGTTATTCGGTGTTTATTGATCGGTGTCTGACGAACCTTCGAGGTGGACGCGAAGCACTTTTTAAATTGATATAGCAGTTCATGTAGCTCGGTCTGTTGTTGTTC